GGGGGTCTCTGACGGGGGGTGCAGCCCCGCAGGCGGCAGTTGAGGGGGTCAGGAATGGTTTTGGGGGATCCCGGATGGTCCCGGGGGGTCTCAGGGGGTCCCGGGGGTCTCTGACGGGGGGTGCAGCCCCGCAGGCGGCAGTTGAGGGGGTCAGGAATGGTTTTGGGGGATCCCGGATGGTCCCGGGGGGTCTCAGGGGGTCCCGGGGGTCTCTGACGGGGGGTGCAGCCCCGCAGGTGGCAGCCGGGCATCCAGAACCCGCAGCGGGGGATGGTGGTCTGGGTGGTGCCCGAGACCCTCGAGGTGACCGTGACCCTGTACCGGGTACGTGCGACCCCCCCGGGACCCCCCCGGGGTGTCCCCCTCCCCCTTCAGACCCTCCCCCACCCCACTCGGAGCCTTTCGGACCCCCCCGTGACCCCCCCGTGCCCCCCCCAGGACCCCCAGGCCGCCACCTTCGATGACAAATCCTGGAACTTCCTCGTGGTGAACGTGAGGGGGGGCGGGGGGACCCCAAAAACGGGGGGGGTGGGGGGTCCCCATGGGGGGTGGGGACACTTCAGAAACAACTGGGGGGGAAAGCTGGGGGGTCCCCGGTTGACATTGGGGTCCCCTGGGGTGGCATTGGGTGACATTGGGGGACTCTGGGTGACATTTGGGTGCCTGGGGGGGTCACGGGGTGACATCGGGCTCCCCCAGGGGGGTGACATTGGGGTCCCTGAGGGTCCCGGGGGTGACACTGGGGGTCTCTGGGTGTCCCGGGGGTGATACTGAGGGTCCCGGGGGTGACACTGGGTGTTCCTGGGGTGACGGCAGGTGTCCCGGGAGTGACACCGGGCGTCTCTGGGTGTCCCTAGGGTGACACTGAGGGTCCCGGGGGTGGCACTGGAGGTCCCGGGGGTGACACCGGGGGTCCCTGGGGTGACACTGGAGGTCCCGGGGGTGACCCCGGGGGTCCCGGGAGTGACACTGGATGTCCCTGCGGTGACACCGGAGGTTCCGGGGGTCCCGGGGGTGACCCCGGCGGTCGCGGGGGTCCCGGTGCCGTGACCCCGCCGTGTCCCCGCAGGAGTCGCGGGGGCGGCGCTCGGTGGTGGCCGCGGCCCCGCTGGAGCTGGGGAGGCTGGCGGGGGTCGGGGAGACCCCCCTGAACCTGACCCTGCGCCCCAGGAGCCGCCGGGTGACAGCGGCGACACTGAGGCTGCGACTGCGGGGGGTCGTGCTCAGGGAGGGACACCCCACGTACGGACACGGGGGGACATTGGGGACATTGTGGGGACATTGTGGGGACATTGTGGGGACATTTGGGACATTGTGGGGACATTGTGGGGACATTGGGGGGACACGGGGGGGACACGGAAGGGAAATGGGGACATTGGGGGAAGTGTGGGGACATGGTGGGGACACGGGGGGG